AAAGTGAACTGACAATGAACTGGAAATGATAACTGAAATGAAAACTGAACTGAAGCTCGAATGAACTGAAATGAACTGAAATGACACTGAATGCAACTGAAATGAACTGAGAATGAACTGAAGATTTCTGTATATTATTTGAAGTGAATGAACTATGACACGATGAACTGAAATGAACTGGAAATGAACTGAATGACTGAAATGAATGAATGCAACTGAATGAACTGGAAAATGACCTGAAATTAACTTGAAGATGGAACTGAAATTGAACTGAAAATGAACTGAAATGAACTGAATATGACTGAATAAGAACTGAAATGAATCTGAACTGAACTGTACAATGAACTGAAATGCAACTGAAATGAACTGAAATGAACTGAAATGAACTGAAAGAATCTGCAATGAACTGAAATGGACCAGGGCGAGCTTGATACCCAATTTCAAAATATTCATTGGCTGATGGCTGCTGGCGACACGTTTAGAGTAAAAGAATTCAGCATTTGAACAATAAAAGTGTAGTAACATAATGGATGGTTCTAGCTACGGGTAGCACTTTGGGGACCAGCCTTAGCCTAATATCTTTGTCGGCTCATTGCCAGGTGTTTAATTTTCAGTTTGTGTGACACATGATTTGCAAAACAGGGCCTGAGTGTGAACGTTTTTTTGAAATGTCGCCTTAATGTCCTTCAACCACAGCCCTACAGTTTACATTTGAACAACGAAGAAAATAAACTCCATTGCCATTATCTAAATACTTTGGTTGGAAAGCTGACACTCGGATTTCATGATTAAGTGTAACCGCAAACTTCACCATTTTCGGATATTACACTGCTGGAGTTCGCTCCGGCCCAGATACAAAAAAAAAACTCCATCAACTGAAATGCCTTTCTCGGTGCCTTGATACGTTAATTGACCGATTGTGCAATAATTGATAAATGGCCAAAGCAATGGCGAAAATTTCCGGGCACTTAAATACCTACGTAGTCAAGGCACCCCAACAGTTAATTTAGTGAGGTGATAGTGGGCTGAAGCAGAGACATTGCCAAATACAGAGAGATATTAGGAAAGCGACCTCAATAAACTGAACTACTTGCTGAACTTTGAATGAACGAACAGAACTGAAATGAACTGAAATGATATGACTGAAATGACCTGAAATTGAACTGAATGAACTGAAAATGAACTAATGAATGACTGGACTGAAATGAACAAGACTGAATGAATGATGAACAATGAAAATGACAACTGAACTGAACTGAATGCTGAAATGAACTGAATACTGAATGACATACTGAACTATTAACGATGAACTGAATGCTAATAACTGACTGAACTGAGACTGAATACTGAAACGAAATGAATCTGAACTGAACTGAACTGAACTGAACTGCTGATGAATGATGAATCTGAACGAATGAACTACGAACAACTAATGAAATAGCTTGAATGAACTGAACTGAACTGACAACTGCAAATGGAACTGAACTTGAACTGAATGAACTGAACTGACATGACTTGAACTGAATGAACTGAACGAATGAACTGAATGAATGAACCTGATGAAACTGAAACTGGAAACTCTGATGACTAGAAAACTGAACTGAAAATGAACTGAAATGAACTTTAAATGATAAATGAACTTGAAATGAACTGAAATGACTGAAGAACCTGAATGAACTGAAAGACCTGAATGAATGTAAGAATGAACTGAATGATGAGAACTGAATAATGAACTGAATGAACTAACTAAGCGAGCTGACAAATAAAACTAACTGAAGAATGAACTGACTCAATGAAACATGAAACTGAACTGAATGACACTGAAATGAGACTGAAATAGTGAACTGAAATTGAACTGAAAATGAACTGAAATGATCTGAAATGAACTGAACTGAACTGAACTAATGAACTGATCAGTTCATTTCAGTTCATTTCAGTTCATTTCAGTTCATTTCAGTTCATTTCAGTTCATTTCAGTTCAATTCAGTTCATTTCAGTTCAGTTCAGTTCAGTTCATTTCAGTTCAGTTCAGTTCAGTTCAGTTTATTGAGGTTGCTTTCTATATCTCCTTCTTTTGGCAATCTCTGCTTCAGCCCACTATCCCTCACTAATTGAACTGTTTGGGTGCCTTGACTACCGTAGTATTTATAGTGCCGTGAAATTTTCGCCATTGCTTTGGGCCATTTTATCATTATTGCACAATCGTACATAACGTACAAGGCACCGAGAAAGGCATTTCCGGTTGATTTTTTTTTGTATTGGGCGAGCGAACTCCAGCAGTGTATAACCCCGAAAGTGTAAGTTTGCGGTATACACTAATATGAAATCCAGCGTCAGACTTTCCAACCAAAGTATTTAGAAATGGCAAGGAGTTATTTTCTTCGTTTTCAAATGTAAACTGTAGGGCTTGGTGAAGGACATTAAGGCGCTTCAAAAAAACGTCAAACTCAGCCTCTGTTTTGCAAATATCATGTGTCATCCACAAATGGAAAATAAACGCCTGGCTAAATGGCCGACAAAGATATTAGGCAAGGCTGGTCCCAAAGTGCTACCCGTAGCTAAACAATCAATTTGTTGACACATTTTATTGTTAAAGCTGAATTCTACTAAACGTGTCGCAGCATCCATCAGCTCAATGAATATTTCCTTTGGAAATGGTGGGGTATCAAGCTCGCCCTGGTTCATTTCAGTTCATTTCAGTTCAGTTCATTTCAGTCCAGTCCAGTCCAGTCCAGTCCAGTCCAGTCCAGTCCAGTCCAGTCCAGTCCAGTCCAGTCCAGTCCAGTCCAGTCCAGTTCAGTTCAGTTCAGTTCAGTTCAGTTCAGTTCAGTTCAGTACAATTTTTTAAGTTCCCTGACATACAATTGATCACAATAATCCAACAAGTAAATTAGCTAAACTACAAGAAAATAAGCCTTAGTTACAGAAAAAACATACATCGGTAGGTGAAATTATTATGTTCAAGTTTTGCATGAACTCAGGTTCAGTTTCATATTTTTGAAAAACAGGGTCCAAAACTTCAGAAAGCCACTAAGGCAATTCGTGTTGTGCTGATCCAATCATAGACAGGATGGGTCTAAGTGGAAGATCCGGCTCATGTATTTTAGGGAGGCCATACATTTGTGGACGCTGTGAACCTGTGTGTCTTATCTTATCGCAAACTTTGTTGGTTAACATTTTGAGTTTACCAGCTCCAAAAGGCGCTTCACTATTTTCCGCTCTAGCTGGGCGGTTTTTTCCTGTGTTTTGACGTCACTTAGTTTCTCGAACTTTTAGAAGTATGATCTCAGTCCCTTTCCTAATGGCATACACCACATAACGGTCACTTGTTTTTGTCTTGATTCCTCGACTTTCTCTGATGTACTCTTCATTTTTTGTGATGGTGATGATGATACTTCCTACAATGATAGGTGTACTGTTTTCGAAACATATCTTTGTCCATACACATTCTTTCTCTTCTATTTCTAAGTCATCCATTTTAAATTATTCCAGTGCTTCTTACAAAATAAATGAGAACCTCCACTTCATACTGTTCTTTCTGGATGTCATATATCCTTGCAGTTTAATGTCTTCTTTATCAATCTTTGTTTCATTTACACTCAACACGTCAAAGTTGATTCTCTTTTTGATTAATCTCAGCAGGCCATTTATGTTGATGTGGGGCATTTTAAAACCACTTTTATTGATTAAACAATTAAGGTCTACATGATTTGCCTCATCAGGAAAATTTTCTATTTCTGGCAGTACTCGACATTGGGTTCTCTGCCCTTCAGACCTCTTAAATAGACTGCCTGCACAAGATGCTCTGCACAATCAAGCCTACATAATTTTTTGTACAATCTAACTGATAATCCCTCACATTATGTTTATTTATGCTCATAGAAATTGACAAAACAAAACTACAAATACAGTACTATAACGATACCATAGGGTGTATGAATCTTCAACTCTGTGGCCATTCACAATTATCTCAAAGTCTGTTTCAAAAAAGATGGAAGGCGAAGCACCCAGGAGGGTAAATATAAACCAGGAGAGACAACCAGGAAGGTTTGCATGTTTATATACACCCAGCTACATTTTTGAAACTGACTTTGATAACGGAAGCTAACAAGAAAAAGTAACACGAAAGAAACTTTTTTGCGAGTAGGGAAGGTAGCGGCAATTCACAGAAAACGTTGAGATGCGTGACTTTTTTTCAGAGTTTACTTGATTATTTCACTATCAACAGCAATTGGTAGCCTTTCATGGCCATATATTTTTGGAAATCTTTGGCGGAGCTGCGCCTGTTTCTGTTTAAACCTTGAGCTAGGTCTAAGGTCCTTGAGTAAATTTTTATGATACATTTTTAGGCATGCTTTGTAATTGTTAGGTATACTTTCTTATTACTAGGTATTCTTTTCTACTACGAAGCTGAACAGGCCAAGTCAAAGTCTCAATCTCAGCATACAGATTAACATACAGTGACCATCTTCGCACGTCTACTGCAAGTTTTATGTGGGATGCAAGCCATTGGTTGCTTTTTCATTCCACTGTTTATGTCACTTTTCATGCAATTTTTTATGTATCTTTCATTGTTAATCCATTTACTGTTCAAAACCGAATTTGCCAATGATTTTCCATAATTATTCAACGACCCATATCTACAGTAAGATTTTGTTTATGGCTCAACCAAATAACAAGCTGGTTACCCCCTAGTTTAAACCGAATATCTGTTTCATCTTAAAAAAGTCATCTATATTTATGCATGCGCGAATAAAGCTTACTTGTTGAGGCTGTTCCCTTGCAATAACTTTATTTCGAAAAAAACAGATATAGAATAAAGTTCCATTGGAGACGATGTCGCTTAATTTAGCAAAGAATTATCTTTCACCTCAAAACAAATGATTTGAAAATGAATGAGATTTTTACATAGATAAACCTAGTGGTTATTTCAAACATATACATGGCTCGACAATTGAAAAGTAACACGTGGCGTGAATCCAGACGCTGTAAAGCCCAAGTTGATTAAAGGATGCACATTGCATGAATTCTACTCATAAGATATTTGCAATTTTAGAGATACAGGATCTTATCAGAATGATTCTATTGGAATGAACAAATTATCAGTTTTCCTCGTGTTTCCAATTTTGAACATTTTCGAAAATCTAGTTGATAAAGAAAGTATTTAAATGATTTGTTTTTTAAGGACAAAATCATTTTGTGGCGATTCAGCTTCAGCATATATAGAAGATTAATTCAGGTAAGAGATTCAAATAGCTCACAAAACTTTTGCAGATGTCTCTGAATATTGGTATTTACTTGAATCTAGATCTTTTAAAAAATTGTTAAATATTTTCAGCTAAAAATATTGCTTGTAAAATTCTATAGAAAAAAGAGAACGTCAGAATATGATAAATAAATCTTTGAGGCGGCACTTTCATAAGAAGAAGCTTTTTAATTCGATACGATACGTTGCTTCAATTGTTTCATAAAGATTGCTTGTTATTGGCCGCTAAAGGTTGCCTTAACACCTAGACATTTTGCCCGGCTCTTTGCCTTTGTCTTTGTAGAAAAACTAGAGCTTTCCTTGGTACTCCTTAGCAACCAGTTATTGAATGTCAACAGTACATTTTATGAATTACACGTGTTTCTTTATTCATTTCTGCAAAAGAGGTAATTGCGAATGATTTCATAATGATTATTTCTTTTCCGAATATCCAACTTAACATTAAATTTTCAGACTGTTTTTACAGATTCTATGCATTTTATGTCAATAAGTTTTAACAGAACTATTCAGGTTTAGTTGAATATAAGCCTAATCGATTTGCAAGAATGTGCGTATTTCAATGTTTATGTCTCAATTATATGATTGGAATTTATCAGCAGATCCTTTCTAAAAGAAATCTTAAAACGTGATTAGGCAGGTGTTTCTTTCTAGATTAACATTCACCGTGATGCGTCGCTTGCAATTTGTTTTGACTATTCTGTCGGCTATTATTTCCTTTCAACGCCTTGTCACCTGCGCCATTTTGACAGAAGAACGAAGTAATTGGACTGAAAAATGTACGAAAGATCTGTACGATGGGAGAAACCAGTGTTTGCAGCTGAATTTCAAATTAAAGCATGAGTGCTTTCGACGCATTTTCACCACATTGAAGAAATGCCTTCAAAAGAACAGTCATCTTCATCGCAAAGAGAAAGGCAATTTTAGAAGAAGCTGCGCTGGAGATTGTTGGGGACAGTTCTACCAATGCGGGACCCTAATAAAATCAACGTTGGATCAATGGACATGCATAAGGGGTCGGGAAGTCTGTATGCATATGTGTCGAAAATAAGTCTATTTTGACAAACATACTGTGGACTTACCATTAAAATTGAGAATAACAAGCAAGCTTTAACAAAATGTTTCTTTTCTTGATCAGAATCTTAATGTTTAAACTAGAATAAAGCACTATACACCAGGAAAAAGCATGAATTGACAACTAATTTCGACAATATCATGACAGTTAGAATATTTTCATATCATGGGTCGAAATATTGGAATAAACAATGGATCCATGAGATTGCTTGTAAAAATATTGCTTGTTGACAAAAAAGCTAGCAACAAAAGTGATGCAATTCTTGGAATGGAGAGAGTTCAAAGATGACAATATAATGTCCCATTTTGGGTTTCCAAAAAGAAAGTTACGCCTAAAATGTACTATCTGCATAAGGGCCTCAAATGTTGACCTACATTGGGGACGTGGAAAACATTTAAAGGCCCAAAACTAAATGTATCTTCAATTTCTCTTCCATTGATGCTTTTAACCTAATGTATATTTGCAATTTGCAATTTTTTGAACCTTAAAGGAATAAAGAAAAAATTTTGACATACAAATAATCACTTGAAATAAAAGACAATTGGTTGAAATTTGAAAAGAGTAGACAATTTCAGGAAACAAATAAGCGGGTGAAATTTGAATTTTTCGTATATGTTCCTGGAGAAAAGCAATACAAATATGTACGGCGGACATGGGATGCATCTGCCGTAAATATAAATTTTTCAGTGATTTGTCGTTGTTAATCCAGCTACAAAAGAATATTTTTATTGAGATACCCAGTCAAAAAGACAGCGAGATTGACAAAAGCAATTTTGTCTGACAACGCCTTCTTTGAGTTTTTGCGTTAGATCTCACAGTAAGATAAGCATTGGCGGCATCAAAATAGATGGTAGGGGTGGAGAAGCGGAGGAGCGTCTATCCAAGAAGAAGGAAAAGTGGCTCTGGAATAACCCTCACTTATTCTCGTTCTTGTGAACATAGTGCAAAAATGTTTTTTATGCGCGCGCATGCTGACACAATTTTCCTGCCCGCGATGCGAATGATATAAAAATATATGAGAAAACAAACTTTGAATTTTAACCTTACCTCTGCTTTATTTTTATGTAGTCAAATAGATATATTATCTACTTAAGATTTATATCATTAAATTAAGGCTTTAAAACCTTATAAATCTCTTCGTTGCCTATGCTTTACTACCAAACTAATGTATGCTATGCCTAGGCTTACTATTAATCAAGTAGGGAAATATGAACAATTTAAAAAGTAAATTTTAAGCGTTACCCAATTTTCCGCCACTGAATGAGACATTATACAAAATAATTGAGCTTTTGACTACAAGCATACAAAAATTCAGGATGCGGCACGGTGGAAATTTTTCACGATCGTTAATTTGAATATCTTGTAGCTTTGTGGTTGTAGTCACACAAAACCCAATAACATTGCACCTCCCAGGAGGCCTGGATCGCAATCAAAGTGTCACATGGTCGGTTGGCGGGAAAAATTTTGCGCGTCGCCATTTGGCCGCAGCTTGCAGGCGCAAAAGTTCTTTGCACAGCGGCTGCAAACATTCCTATTGTTCGAGAAGTGATTGCACGAAATTGCGAATCACTATCGGTATCACATATGAACCTTTGGCAGTTCGTAGCGTTTTTGTTGCGTTGCAATTTCTGATTGGTTAGGAAAGCTACCAGATTCAAAGAATTATTGTATTCGGCCTTGTTGGAAATGTTCTTATGAAGATTTAGGTTGTTTTATGAATAAAACAGTAACACCTTTGAGGTTATGGCGTCGCAACAAAATTCTGGAAATATTGAAAAAGTTTTTTTCGTTTGTCATGAAAACCAATAGGCAAGCGGCACTGATTGGTCAACCTATACAGTCATGTGCTCGTGTTTCCGATTGGTCTATTTCGATCCACAACTGTGTATATATATTTCTTAGCGTAGAGTTTTCAATCTATGTTCTGACGTTTTAAACTCTGAAGAGTGTCAGACGAAAAGCTTTAGTTTACTAAATGTTTGCTTTTTTCAAAGCCATTTACAAGTTTTGTACCACCAAAAGAAAGTTGTAAACCTTCCCATACCAGAACTGAATATTGGATGAAAATGCTTGATTCAAATCATGCTTAAATACACCCCCAAAAAAATTAATTTTGAATGCAAGATCATTGTGTATCCACTATCAGACGAGAATCAAACTTCGAGCAAAGGTACTTCTTATCACTTCCTACCGCCCTTCACTTCACGCTAAAAATTGACGATCGCTCAAAACAAGAGAATCATTGTAATCAGACACTTCTAATTTACCTTCCAATTTTGGAGGGCGCTTTTCTAATTGGTTTAAATCCAAACATCAGAAGGAGAATGGGTGAGGAGTAGCCCAGAGCTACTTTTCCTTTTTCGTGGCTAGCTGCTCCTCCGCTTCTTTGCTTGGCATTCTGTTTACGTGCTCGACATTTTGTGGCTCTGGTACCCAGGGTAAGAGCACTCTAACTTGGTTTTCTGTACTCCATTTTCTATTCTCACGCTTCGAACATAACATAACGAAACGGGCGCATGCCCAACGCAACGTGGATACGAGGCTAAGAACGTAATACCTTTTCTCCAGCAAGAACAATAAACAGAACAATAACATAAAGAACTTAATTGTTTTTAAATTTGCAAGTCGACATGAAGTTTCTCCCGGGTCTTTTGGTGCAGTATTTCTGGCATAACTGCTCTCTGACCCTTGAATTTTACGTCATCATATGTTCCTAGCTCGTCTCAAATTGAGAGGTATGGATGTACACATTGAGGTAGGGTCTCTTTACTTTCTGGCCATCCATTCAAAATCATTTCCTTCAGTGACTGTAAAGTGCTGTCACAATTGGTATCTCGCTGGATATCTTTCAGCTGTGGTTCATAGATGGGGAGATGATTTGAAATGTTGATAATTTGGACTTCTTCTCCAGTTTCAGAATTTTATCTTTCAAGTGTCGGTAAGTATGCCCTAGAGAGTGTATCTGCTAGAACAATTTCATTTCCAGCCAGGTTTATAGCAGATTTTAACATCGTATGATTGCAATCTTAGTAATAACCTCAGTCTCATTGGGTCAAGGGCAAGTGGCTTGCTGACAAATGAAACAAGTGGTTTGCGATCCGTCCAAAGTGAAATCACTCTGCCATAGACAAAAGTATGGTAATGTTCCACTCCAAATACTTATGCAAGCAGCTCCTTCTTTATTTGGCTGTAATATTGCTCTGCAGGGGTGAGGGCTCTGCTTACAAATGACACTGGACGTCCTTCTTGCATGAGCACGAATCCAAGCCCCTTTGATGATGCATCAGCCTGGCCTTCTTTTGCTGCCCTATTGTCAAAATACTTTAGAGCTGGTGCCTCGCAAATTGCTTTTTGTGACTTGTCATGATACTTTCCCATACCCATGGTGCATTTTTGTGGACCAAATTTCTCAGAGGCTCGCATACTTCGGATAATCTGGGGAGAAACTTGGCCATGTATTTTACCATGCCATAAAGCCTTATACACCAGCGACATCTTTCGGCTTGCTCATCTCTGTGATTGCTTCAACTTTTGCAGGGTCTATATTAAGACCATTCTGTGTTAGGGTATGACCAATGAAGGAAACTTCATCGCACTTGAACTTGAATTTGTCTTTGTTCAGCTTGAGGTTTTCTTGTTGGCATCGTTTCAAATGGCATTCTGAGGTACCTCCAACTCTCCATGGTGTTTGAACGTTGTAAGCATGCTTGATTCTTCATCAAGCTCTAATTGAAGCTACCCTTCCTTCAAGTCGATTTTGCTGAACACTTTGACACCTACCTAGCAACTTCTCAATGTAACGGGTAATGACTTTATTTCAATGCATTGTTGAGGTGTTGTGGATCGCTGCACATCCTCAGTTTTCTTTTGGCTTTTCTGCAATGACGAGATTTGGTACCCAATCTGTTGGGCCTGTAACTTTTTAAATGACGTGAAGATTTTCCAGCCCTTCCAATTCAGCCGTGAGTTTTGCTTTACGAGCGATGAGTACTCTGCGAGGCGGCATGACAACAAGGGTTTGTTAAAAAGTATCAGGTAGATAACAACAACACACTTCAGATTTATATTTACAGTTTTAAAAGCTGTTTAATTCAGCTAATAAAACTGTCAGATACTGTAGGAAGATTGTTTCAAGACAGCACATTGGATTTGATTCACCCAACATTATATAAAACATCTAAATTGCTTTGCTCTGATACATGATAAGATAAATACATTTTTTATGATCCTTCCTTTTTTTCTTAGAACTATTGTACTTAAAAGTACAAAGAGTGTTCTTTTTCCAAATTGAACAATGCCCCCTAGTCAATGTTAATTGAAAGAAGATTGCTGTATTATGCAATGGGTGATATAAACGAGCTTTGCTTACTAATTAAAAAATTCAATTAAGGGGATTTTAAGGAAACAATTAATGATCAATGAAATATTAATATTAGAACTTGCCAAGAAAAAATAAATTCCAATACTTCAGGTGCTCGAACATAGGCTAAAGAAAAGGGGAACATCAAGGATTTTGCTTATTTTAAATGTTTTTTAAAAGACCTAAAATTGTTTTTACAAGTTAAATATTCCAATTATGTTTATGTTCACAGCAATCGTAGATATACAAAAATATCTTTAGGTTCTCTTTCTAAGCAAAGACAAATAATTGAGAGAGCAGAAAATTATCTAACTAGGCTACACTGCATTTCTTATAATTTTTATATTTTCAAAAAGCAAAACAAATTGTAATCAGAAAACATAGAGTTATCCTGCGGAAACATAGAGAAAACATAGAGTTATCTCAATACTGCAAAACCATCATCTCGCACAACATCAATAACAAAAAAGTTCACGATAAGATAAAGTAAAGACTGGAAAGGTTAAGACGGCACAGAGTTCTAATTTCATGCCTCACTTGCATTGCATGTCTCTAACGAGCAACAGCAATGGAGCATTTTTGTTACTTCTATTAACAACAAGTTCTGAGACATGCTGTTTGAATATTTCAGGCTACATACTATGAAGTATTTGGCATATTATGAGTAACCATTACCCCTAATTA